TTGTTGTTGTTCTTAAAGTCCTTGGCCACATTTACAGTGATCCAGACAGTCAAATTCAAAACAATATTTGGAAGACATGTAGGCTGAAATTGTATTAAGTGGGACTTACTTCTAAGTAAACTTACATATTAGTTCAGAAATTACTGTTGATCATTACTGCAGCACTAGTGCAGGGATTCTTAAATTTTGTTGTGCTGCAGTTATTTACTCTTTGTGCCCATCGCAATTAGTTACTCTTTGTGGGCCAAAACAAGTTTGGCCAAAACAAAACAGGATGCTTTTAAAAGTATTGAGCTAGAACTCAACTCCTTTCTTCTACATTGTCCCTGCACTCCTGGGCACCTATGCTGAACGCAGAAATCTTGGTAAATTTGCTAATTCTCTGTCACTGAAATGGTTGTCAGAGCCAATGATCAGGGCTAATTGAGCCAACTGATTAACAAATGCCCTGCATTTTATAAAAGTGTACCCTCGGGTACTTTAAAAAAAAAAACACCACAAATGCCCTGCTAACACTGAGTATGCACAATCCTAGGACCACTGACCATTTCCTCTCACCATACATGTTAAGTACAGCCACACAGGAGTACAAAAAGAATTGAGTTTTAATAAAATATTTAGAGATTGGTCTGGAGTTGGCAACCTCCAGGTGGTGGCTGAAGATTTCCTGGGGTTACAACTGATCTCCAGGTGACAAAGATCAGTTCACCTGGAGAAAATTGCTACTTTGGAAAGGTGGATTCTATAGCATTATACCCCACTGACGTCCCTCCCTTCCCCAAAGCACACCCTCCTCAGGCTCCACCCCCAAAATTTCCAGGTATTTCCCCAACCTGGATCTGATAACCCTAGTTTGGTCTGGAAATGGCCTATTGAGTTTTGCCCCATTATTTTTATTGCTGTTCTATTGACATCCTGAAAATGGTTGGTTGTTGATAGATGATATTCTAGTTTAGGTTTAAGACTCACTGCTCTAAAGTATTAATTACCATTGCAACAGTTTTCTGAGTATGCATTCAAATTCATATTTGAGATTTACGTGTACACATTTCTATGACCCTCCTAATTTTGTGTGCATGATTTCACAAAGGACACCTGAGGCTTAAAGTTACTGTGGTTCCACCAACAAAATGGAAATAAATTCTTCAGATTCAAACAAGGGTGCCAAATCTAAAAAATTTACAGCATATTTTATAATTTTTAAAAGTGCCATCCTATGTAGAATTACTCCAGTCTAAGTCAACTGAAACCAATGGCCTCCGCATAGGATATTCACTATTAGTTTGATAGGTTTCATTTTTAGGGATGTTTTCAGGTTGCTATCCTAGACATAAATAAATCAAGAGAATGCAGTTTATAACTAATCTTACATTTTACTAATCTCCAGTGACAGGGAGTTTAATTTAAAGACTTTCCAGCTTCTCCAACACCTGTTTCCATATGCCAAAGAGTTTCAGGCTGAATGGGATAACAGTAGAAGAATAAGGAAAGGAGGCAAATGAACTGCTGAACAACAGGGCCAGGGATTGGCTAACCCATACAGCACTGTATTGGACTAGCACTGCTTTAGAACCTTTTGGAATTGGTAGACATTAAACTGAGATGTTGCCACAAGCAGAAATAAAGACACATTACTTACCACAAGGCAAAGAGTTGTTATAGCGTGCTGTCTTGTTATGGATCCAGTGCTCCTTCCTCCAGCATATAATGGTGCCATCCTGGCAGTCTTGCATATGATCTATGTCTGCTGTAGCCCACATTCTGAACATATACAGTTCACCAACCATCCCCTCTGGAGAAGGCGAAGACACTCCTGGCATCTCTGAGCAGCCAAGTAAAAGCTGGCCATTTGGGTGAAGTTCAAGTTCCCCAACTTTAGATAATTTTTCTGTTTTTTTCTCTTGGTCATTTATATATAAACTTACTTCCTGCAGTTCACTTCTCCATCTTATGCATATTTGATACCAGGTGTGCTCATCCAGTCCTTCCGCCAAAGTTATTTCATTGCCAAATACCCAAAAAGTCAATTTGTCATGCTTTCCTGCAAGTCCAAGTTCATAGGTGTTTCCAGATGGAGTGCCATTAAGTTCCTTTTTGTTGTAGACAAATGCAGTCCAAGAATTTTCAGTAGTGTTTAGTTTCAGGGAAATGCAAACGGTGAAGTTTTTAAGGGCAGGCACAGAAACTCCAGGTGACAAAGTCCAGACATCATCACATGCATTAAACACAGCACTGTATTGTCCTAAGAAACCATCCTCAGCTAATGGGGGAAGAAAAAAGCAAAACTTGTTAATAACTTTATCTTTACTAGCCGATGCAGTATTGTTGTGGTTTTCTGCATCTGTATTCATGTCGTCTTATGAGAAACCACACTTGAAATTCACAGAGTTCCTTAAATTTCTTTACAACACTGACACGAGAGGTCCAAACTAGATGAGATGATGGGGGTTCCATGAATGGATCCCACATTGTTTTTAAACTTTAAATTGCAGCCCTACAGAACCTCAACTTGGATTAGAGCCACAGTACTGTTGGGGGGGGGGGCATGGCTAGTCTTTCCTCATGTTTTGTTCCTATTAATAAATCCCAAATACAGGCTATTTGTCTGTGGGAAGGGGTTGGAGAGAGGCATGCAGGGGATATGTGGAAACACTGGCAACTGTGTCAGACTTAGTCCTCCTTACATTGTGTTGTGAGAGCTGCAGCAGCCCTGTCCTGTCTTTCATCATTGAGTAGGCCCGTAGCTACAGTGGGGCATTTCAGGGGGGCCCACCCGCCCCCCGACTTACTGCCAAGGCCCCCCCAACTTCCCATCCAGCCCCCAGGGCAACTCTTCCCTACATCAGTAATTAACTTGCATAAAAATGGGTTAATGCTGTGTAGTGTAGTGTAGGCTCTTCCCATGAGTTTCTCACGTTACCTTGGTGGCATGTGAAGGAGTGGAGTTGCTATACTACCAAGGCAATATAAGAACAGACTCCAAGTGATCTTGAGTCTTTCATAAGTTTTAGTACCAGCTATCAATTCTCAGCTCAGCCCAGGTGCTAGGTCCAGTAGTCCAACCAAAAGATGTTGCAATATAATATGCAAAATTCAGTAAAATTAATATACACATAGACAATGACCTCTCCAAACACTGAGGGGTATAGCATATAAAATGTGTAGATTGTGGGTTGTTGTTGTTTTAAAAAAAATCATGTATATTTCTTTTCTTCTGTACTTTCCAGTGCCACAAAGTCAAGCGGCTTTTTAGTGAGAATTACTGCAGAAAGAATATCAAACAAAACTCACCCCTCCTTTCCCAACACCAGGTGCATATCTCTTCTTTTGACTATTGACCTAACTTGCAGCTGGATCAGACCCAAATTGGTTCTAGTCTACACCAACATTGTTCACAGCTGCCAATCTATTTTATACACACATATATGATAACTCTTGTAGCCAAATAATGTCCCAACACAGAGATACTTGAAAAAATATGAAATGCTGTAAATAGCAATCTACTTAACCAAAGAAAACATGTATTAAAAATATCTGCTCCTTGTTTTTCAAACACAATCTAGGGCTGTGAGTCTCTGGTGACAATGCCATGTAAAAGCACCCTCAAGACCCAATTCAGGTAGGGACCACAGCATGAGAGGAGGATGTAATGTATCCATCTCAGACCGCGTGCGAGGCAAGGGCTCCATGCGGTCAAGCGAACAGTCCGAGCTTCGCTCCAGGAAACAATGGACTGAGCAGATCCTAGCTGCACCAATTGGTGAGCTAGGCTCCGGGCTGAGAGCCCATGGAACTCTCAGCCACTGTATATAACCAATCACGGGAGTGGGGTGTGGGGTTTTCAGGAAATATAAGCCGGCCTGCAAGCCAGCTAGAGTTGTCTTGTTCTTCACTAATAAAAGTATGAGAGCTGTAATCACTTGTCAGTCTCAGTACTTTTCAGAGGAGGGACTCGTGTCCCCCCTCCGCAGTTTTCTACAGGCATTCAGTGCATATGCACCCCCAATGGGGTGAATAATACCACACTGGGCTGTTTTGGGACAGCATGGAGAGCAGGCAGGAGCCCCTCCTCCCCCTGCACCATGATCTCAGTTTGAATTCGGCAGCTGCAATATGACTGTAAGTCCCTGTGGAGAATTTGTATAAAATGTAAGACATAGTTTGGAACTTGGATTCCCTGTGTCAGAGGGAGGTGAGGAGACCCCAGATTAGCAGTCATCATTACTGTGAGACACTGCCCCTTTAAAGGATTCACCACACACACCACAGCTGCGGTTTATTCAGTGTGTGATGTAATTGGCTGTGAGGCTTATGATCTCCTGAGTGTATTTTTAAATTGGTATCAACCACAGGGACCCAAATTTGGATCAAGAATGTAGCATATGAGAGAAGATTTTTTTTTTCCCCAAATCCCCTTATCCTGTACCATTTTTTCCAACCTAAAATGGCTCCTTGGAGCACTATTTGTCCTGGTCAAGAAACATACTGGTTGCTAGTACATTATGTTCCCCACTATCGGACAACAAATACATACTCTTGTGGATTGTTTGGAGAAGAGAAAACAGTATATTAGGGGAAATGGTTAAGTATTCCCATGCTCTGGCCCTGCTCTAAATTGGGGCCTCCTGCAGCTGGTATTAATGAATAAAAAAAATGCTTAGATGAATCTTATTTATCCTCACAACAGGCCC